CCCTAAACCCTGAAACCCTAAGCTTCTTCCCAGAGCCAAGAGGCGGATGTAGTGCAGCTGGCAGGTGTTCAGCGTCTCGAGAAGGCTTTCCAGATCGGTACAGTACTTCCTTACTGGAAGGGTTTAGGGTTTAGGCTCTCTTGACGTAGTTCAGTCTCTTTAGGAAGAAGGTTTAGGCGGCTCAGAATGCGAATTAGTCGGGGATAGTAAATAGACCTAGGAAATCAACAGACGCCAACAGAGCCTCCAGGCAAAGCCAATCTTGAGCAGTTGCCCCTCCCCAAGACTAGCATGGGAGCAAACGAGACTTGTATTGGGGTTATTTAGGGGCTATATACGGGTTATATTGGGATAACGGAAAATAAAATGGAAACTGATATGAGCTATACACCCTACAAGGACTACTGTCCTTTAGAAACAAGACTTTGTAGTGTGCCATGCTAGTTTGGGGTAAGTGATGTCACTAGCTGGCTCAGAGTGCTGCGATTCGAGCTTCAACCATATGTCAGTCTCGTGTGTAGTTTGGGGTGTATTTTGGGGGTTAAACAAAGACGAGATGGCTAGGATTCATTGTTTTGGAGTTGAGGGTTAGCGAGCACTCAGAGGTTCCAGACAGGGGCCCGACTCTACAGAGGCATTTTGCGCTGTATAGGCGGGTTGGCAACCATATTCTATGCACTTAAGGGGGACTATACTCTACCCCTAGGCCAATGACAGGAACATTATCTTCACTAATTCTTCAAGCTTATGCTATAACATTACTGGAAAATATTTCCTAAGGAGACATGTAGGGTTCAGGGCTTAGGGAAAATTTTCCTTAAAAAAAACCAAGGAATTCCTCGGGTTTGGGGGCTTCGCATCACTAGAACTGTGGCAGGCTTTTGTCAGATTTGATGGGTTTTTGACGTGATCAGTGGTGGTGCTCGCCTCAATGTTGCCTAAATTTTCTGGGAAAAGGTTGGGAAACTGGTTTAGGGCCTAAGCTTGTAAGTAGGAGTGGCGAAGTACAAATTGAGCGTGGGCAAGTCAGACGAAGTTGGGGAAAGGATCCAACAAATATGATTCCAGGCAACAATCAACTGCAGCTGCTTGTCAAACCCTGTCGTCTACCGCCAGGAATTTCCACACCTGAAGTCTTGAGCCCAAAGAATAGGGGTTTTATGCAACAGAAACCAAACAATTTTTAGCGATTGGGGCCTATGACCCATTATTTGTGTACTTGGACCAACCAGGCCGTGAGACGTGAAAGCCATGCGTCTACTTCCCACCGCCGTGAAAATTCAACATCCCCCGCCACAAGCCCTGAGTCCTAAACCCTCAACCCATATTAATAACCCTGCTTAGAAAAGGAAGTACCTAAACCGCAAAAGTAGATAAAATCATAGCCCGAAACCCTCAAAAACAGCCCAAAAAGCTATTATGCTGCATACTGTTGGGGTTCAGGTAATGCCTGTGGGACTACCCCTCTTGGGTTTGCATGTTAGGTTAGTGCCAAGCACTCCTCCTACCTGTTTTATTTAAAGGGACTTTACCGGGAACCCCAAACAGGGAACACCAAGAATATAGCAGGAAAAAATAGAATATAAGGACCCGGGTAAGTATATTCCGATTATATTCCTTCTATATTCTTGGGTTCCCTGCTTGGGGTTCCCATTGGAACCCTTTTCTTGTTCTCGACCCGAACCCAGACCCCTGGGAAGATCTAGAAAGTAATGAAACCCCCTTCAAGGCCTTCTTCAACGTCACCCCCCAGTAGATCGTGCCAAACTAGATCCTCCCTGAGGCCCGAGAAATCTTTCACTCCTAAACCCTAAACCCTGAACCCTCAACCCTCAACCCTAAGCCAGGCATCTTGCTGATGGACCGGAAGAGTGCCTTTGAGGAATCGTCTTCGCCAAGGGAAGCCACGAAAGGGAAGGTTGAGTCACCTGAGTTAAGGGATGAAAGCTAAGGGCTTAAGTAGGCTTCAGGATTGAGGGTGTAGGGTTGAGGGTATGTAGGGTTGGGCTTAGAGGTTTGGTTTAGGGCGCAGAGTTTAGGGATTTTCTTGTAGAGGTAGGGCGTAGGGATTAAAGAACAAGGCTGGGGCTTAGAGTTTCAGGTTTCGCGAGGAGAGTTTTGGGGTTAGAGTCCACTACGTTCGGGGTTTTGGGGTTACGCCTGTTGGTTCTAGGCAGGATCATGTTCTTGTGAACAACAACAACAACAACAAAAACTACTACTACTACTACTACTAGTAGCAGCCGCCCCCGCCCCCTACCAACTA